CAGACAGACAGATAGACAGATAGATGATAGATAGATAGATAGATAGATAGATAGATAGATAGATAGATAATCAGACAGACAGAGAGGTAGATAGAGACAGACAGACAAACAACATGTAAAATTGGTTTTAGTGGCGAATGTGGTTCCCCATATTGCAATGCGTCCAACTCTAACTTCCACTTTCAGTGTAATGAATGGACTTATTCACTACTTTAAAGTCAAATTTTGATCAAGACATTTTTAAACAAATTAGGATTAAATATTATTAATTCTAAATTAAATATGCAAGATGAGATCACATGACAAGCATACCACAGTATACACTGCACACTATGCAGTACACTTCACACATAGCCATAGCATACAGTAAACACTTGAGAGTGCTGACAGACACACACAGTCAACAGGTTTTCTTGAGCGCACACCTGGATCCACTCACACCTGTGGAAATGAGGTGATGTTATGATACGATCACGTCAGATGATTTCTGACAGACGCAGAAGAGCGCCAGTGTGAGAGACGTGTTAATTGTTGCTGAGTGTTTAGCGCTCAGGGCCGCGTGTGTGTTCATATCCGCTGCTGCTGAGAGACGTTTAAACGTGATCCTCCTTCAAAGATTCACATACACATCGTGAGTGTATGTGGCTGTGCTTTATTAAATAATCAGGCTGTGTCAGTGCATTTGATTTGTTTCCCGTCACACAGGCGTGTTTTGTGAGTGCGATCGGGAATTGGACATCCAGACGTTGATGACAGCGGTTTGGATGCAGGTCTCTTACCTCAGCAAAGTCATGATGACTGAAGAGCTTCACGTCCCAACGCTGACGTCAACATGATGAACGAGTCCTGAGTGTGTTTGTCTCTCATGATCAAGACAGAGGCACGGATAGATAGAGACAAACACACTGAACTATGGAACAGATAGACACAGACACAGACACAGACAGACAGACAGACAGACAGAAAGATAAGTAGGTAGATAAGATAGATAGACAGACGGATAGATAGATAGACAGACAGACAGACAGATAGATAGATAGACAGAAAGACAGACAGATAGATAGACAGCTATAGATAGATGGGCAGACGGATAGATGGATAGATAGACAGATGGATAGATAGATAGACAGATAGACAGACAGATAGATAGATAGACAGATCTATAGATAGATGGACAGACGGATAGATGGATAGATAGACAGATGGATAGATAGATAGACACAGACAGACAGACAGACAGACAGACAGA